TTGAAAAGACTGGTGGCCCCAAACGGATTTTCATCATTTCTTTGTCATTGTTCAAAATCCTCTTTTAGAAACCTCAAGAAATACTGTATATCTCTTCTTTTACAAGGTGATCACTGTTGTCCTCTCCTTTTCAACTTCTTCTTCTTCTGCCCAGCTCAGCTCCTCTGTCTGTGCAAAGCGCCAGGTTTGATGCTTACAAAACATTGAGGGGAAATGACTGTGCGTTTTGAGTTCTGTCTCAGCTTTCAGGAGGGCTGCTGTTGTTGGTATGAGCCATTAAATCACCTCTGACTTATGATGACTGCATAGTTTGCAAAAGCAGAGGGAGTCAGTTCATCTCATATTTAATTTTTCACTTTTCCTTCCACCTTTCCCAGCATTATTGACTTTTCCAAAGAACCCTGCCTGAATGAATCAAGATTAGATATTTGTATTTTATTTTCTTTATTAATTGAAACCTGGGAATCTAGTTCCCTATAAGTGGGCACTGGGTGGCGTGACTAAATTCTGGATCAAGCATCATGGCGTCATGGCAACGTTGTTAGACTGACTCTTCTAAAATCAAGGTTTGGGCCCCCACTGGCTCACAAATGGGTGACCTTGGCCTAGATTGTCTTTCAGTCTGGCCCACCTCACGAGATTGTTGTAAGGATAAAGTAAGATAGAAAACAGGCACGTATACTCTGCTGAGATTATGAGGGATGGTATGATGTAAGTGTAAACAAGAAATTCTGCACCACTGAATGCACAAAGGGCTTAGGAGTCGCCAGCAGGAATTTCAGTAGATTTGCTTGTTTTCTTTGCTCTTTTGCCCTCTCACAGCTGGTCTGCTCGGTTCTCCCAGTGGGACTCTAAAAGAACCCCCTCTTCCCTGGTAGTAGGGAAAAGGAAGAGAAGATCACATCAGGAAATGGTTGGGCAAATGTACTGTTAAATGCATAACTGGAGCAGAAGTCAAGTGAAAACAGCTTGCACGGGTTGCTGGATTGGCCCCTTGCGTTGCAACACTGCCTAAATGAATTTTTCTTTTTCCCAACCACGGGTGATCAGGCCAAGAGGAGATCAGAGCTTGGAAACTGCTGATTGGCAGATACTGGGATCTGTAAGCTGTGAAGAGTAAACTATAGGCTTAAGGGCAGAGTGCAATATAGGTCCTGTTTAAGAATCAGGACAAAATTACCATTTTTGACTACACTTACTTTACCCATCAACCCTGAGTGCTGACTGGAAGGACAGATCTTGAAGCTGAGGTTCCGATACTTTGGCCATCTCATGAAAAGACTCCCTGGAAAAGACCCTGATGTTGGGAAAGTGTGAAGGCAAGAGGGGAAGGGGACGACAGAGGACGAGATGGTCGGATAGGGTCATCGAAGCGAGAGCCTATTTCAGAATCTGGAAAGATTGCAATTTTGAACCTCTAGTGGCCATGCTATTTGGGGAATGCTCACCAGCGTAGCCCAAAACATGAGCTTTCTAAGATACACCCATTCCTGTGGATTTGCTAGGTTCAGGGAAGAGGCAATATGACCGTCACCCCCTTCTCTGTTCTGTGGCCTCTCCTCCTGAGAGCGCAGCCAGTGTTGGTGCTGGTCAGTGCTGGAGGAGGGAAGGCCTGGTGGGCATTAGACAAAAGGTGTCACGAAGCTGACCCCGGGCACATCTCGCATTCCTGGTTCAAAGAACATCTGGATTCAGCACACAGCTCTTTCCTCATCCACTCGATCTCTCAGTCAGAACGTTGCCCTCGTCTCCGGAGAGGCCATTGACTTGAAAGGGTGCAAAACAACATCCGAAACACCAGGTCTAGACTTTGCTCTGTTTACCTGGGCCTTGGCTGCCTTTTCTGGTCTTGGGAAACCACAGCCTTTATTCATACGTGGCTTTTACTTCCTGGACATTGAACCTGCTGACTGGCTGATAATTACGGGAGCAGTAATCTAAGAAACAACACTTTCCTAAATGTTGTTTCTTCTCTTCTTCAATCTCTCCGTCTCTGTCCCCGAGCACAACAAGATATGGATTCATTCATCAAGTTATTTGCTCTGCAGGGGCCATACTAACCTTTGTGTTTGTTCTCTATGTTTCTTGTGTTACATCCTTAGCTAAAGCAACTCTAATATATATTTTAACACCTTATTCTGTTCTTTTTGAAAAGAAAACTAATTTGTCTCCTCACACGGAGACCAGAGAGATACTGGCTGGCACCTTGAAGCTCAGCAGCCCTGGCCCGCTAGGGAGAGCTGCAAGAAACCAACACCTACATTAGGTATCAGGTTGTGTTTCTAGTGACACCATGAAATCAGACTTTAACTTAAAACTAGAATGGGGAACATGGGTCCTCCCAAATGCTACTGGACTACAGGTCCCATGATCTCTCAAGACTGAGCTGCACTGATTAGGACTGATGCAAACTTCAGTCCAACAACTCAAGGACTGGCAGTGTGTGGCCTGTGCTGCACCCCCCACAACACAACAGTAACCCCTAACGTTACCGCCGCCCACCTTGATACAGAGGATCATGGGATTCCCAAAGGGGTCCTAAAAGCTAACATGGTACAGAGCCCAAAGTCAGGTTGCCGGTTTCCATTGTCTTTATTGAACGGGCTAAATAGGCAGAGACGAACAAGATACAAGTTTGCTTGGCAGTATCTGATTTGATGGCACGGAATGTTTTATCCTTCCCCCCTTCCAGCTCCAGAAAATGCAGGCCATTTTGTCCACTGTCTGCTCAAGGAGAGGCGGCTGGTTTAGCAGCAAAGCCTTAGGCTGGCTGACACTCGGGGAGAGGGGATTGGACTTGCGTGTCACAGCAGAACGCTCTGCAGAAATGAGCAGGCAAAGCTTTCCATGGCCTGGTGGTACCCACAATCTCCTGCCGATGGTTCTGTTTCAGAAGCACAGCCCCTCCCCCACCAAAAGGGTGGCAGACCTTTGGCCCTCCGAGTGTTTTAGATGTCCAGATGCTTCAGCCAGCGTGACCAGTGGTAACAGATTGTGTGGCAGTGTGGTAGAACAGTTAAGAGAGATGGAGTGGATACTGAGACGTCTTAAGTTCTAGCCACTCACTGAACCATAAAAACTCAATGGCAGAGCTTGCGCTAGCCAGATTTCCTCAATCTGAGCTACCTTGCAAGACTGTGGTTATGGTAAAATGAAGAAGAGAACCATGGAGCTCCTGAAAGGAAAGGCGGGCTATAAAATAAAATAAATAATAAATATGATTAATTGTGGGAGGGTCGCTCCAATCATCTAGCAGGTCAAGGTTTCCTCACCTGAAAATGGAAGGCATCATTCAGTTTTCAAGGCTCCGTGGTGAGTGCCAATGTTTATGTGGCCAAAACAACGCTCCTCATTTTCAAGAGGGGCTTGGGTGCAGGCCGAGGGGCAGCCTCATGGTTTGAGGCAGTATACCGTGGGGGAATTACCCAAACTGGATCCCAGTAAAGGCTGGGATCCAGAGTAGGAGACTGGAAGAACAGGTTAAGGGAAGAATGGAACGGAGCGGCTGGGAACCTGGAAGAAGGCCCATAGAGTGCATTTTTGGGGAATCCCATTAATGCTAACAGCAAAGTGGAGGGTGGTATGATGATGCCTGTGTAGCCCAAATGGAACTAGTGAGAAACCAGAGGGAAGAATGAGCATGCTGGAGCTGGGGATCGGGGGGGGGGAGGAAAGAAAACACAAAGATTGGGGGGAATTGGGTCTTCTTTTTTAAAAAAAAGAACCTTGTCAAACAAGTTCATCCTACACTGCCACTTTTTCTTGCAGGTCCTGCCTGTTATAACATGACAATGAAGTCTTCTTTGACGTGACCCGAGATCCAAGAATCCCCATTTCTCCCATAGCAGACGACATCTGGGAAGTCCCCAAACAGGACATGAAGGAAATGTTCCTTTCCCAATATTCAGGAAGGACGTAAGAACTCTAAAGAGCTTGGTGCAGTGGCAAAAACTACAGTACTGCAGTGAAAACTCTGCTCACGGCTTGGTTCCATCCCAGTGGATCCAGGGAACCAGCTGAAGGTCAACTCAGCCTTCCATCCTTCCAAGCATCCCAGTGGATCCGGGGAACCAGCTGAAGGTCGACTCAGCCTTCCATCCTTCCGAGGTCAGTAAATTAAGCGCCCAGCTCAGAAGGGTGGGTCTATGTGTAGCCTGCATCATGGAATTATCAACCGCCCAGAGAGAGAGCTTTAAGCACAACTGGACGGTATATACTGTAAGCAGCACACTTTGCTTTTTCTGCTTGGCTTTAAAGAACATTTGACAAAATGTTTTCCCCCGGCAAAGTCCCGTAGAGGAAATGCCCTCGTTTGTTTCGTTCAGGGGCAATATGGGAAGTAAAATTTCTTAGTGCTGAAAAGTTTTACCTTTCTTACGATCGTCTCCTAATGTTGATCATACTTGGGATCCTAAGGAGTTGTGTGACCCAGTACAGCCTTGTCTTCTGGGATCCATAAACAGCACCACTGACGCTGCTCTGTTTTGGCCCACCCCGACCCACCCCACTCTTCAGCACAAATAATAACTTTGCCAACCACGCTGTGATTTGGAGGCACAGAGAGCTTTGTCTTTTTCATTAATTCTTTGGAGAGTAAAGACTGGGGACCCAGTTGATGTCGAGATATATTACATTTTAAGTGACTCATTCTAGCAGACAAGGGGGCCCCCCTATCCCAGCCCCTCCCACAACACATCAATAAAGCCACCGGAGATGAGGGTGTTAATTGTGATGGATGCCTGGTCGGGATGATGACAGTGGTAGCGATAACACATTTACAACATAAACAGTGCAGTGAAGTTCTATTTACATGAGTTAGTTAGTTCTGTGCCGTCAAGTCAGAACAGACTTATAGCAACCCGATTAGGGCTTTCAAGGTAAGTGGGACATTTAAAGAGTGGTTGTACAAGTTCCACACACCCAGTGAGTTTCCATGGCTGAGCGGGGATTTGAAGCCTGGTCTCTAGAGTCCTAGTCCATCACTCTATCCACTACACCCAACAAAGCCAGAGCATTTTATTTCAAAGGACGTCCTATCCTTCTTTCTTCTACAAAGTATTTGAGGTTGTTTCTTATGCTTAGCCCTTATTTCTCCGATACTTGTCAGTACCAGATGCTACAGAAGAGGCAGCATCTGTTAAAATAATGAGGATTTAAAAAGAAAAACAGCAACAACAACAGGGGGGAAAAACACAGTAATCAAAATGTGATGTAAGAAGGCTTTTGTTCCCATGAAACATTCAAAGGCGCCCAAGTTCAGATCCTACAATGGTACCACGGATCTCTGCTAGAAGGGGCGATCAAGGCGATGACACCGATGGTATAACTCTGGTAAGCCATGTATCCATCATCTCCCACTGATGTGTTCCAGAAGTGGAGGAACACCAGAGCCATCCCCACCACCTGCAATATTGGCAGCTTCTCGCTCTCGGTGCTGCAACAACCTGGATATCCATGTGCAAAAATCAAAACTCTCCAAACTCAAGCCGGCCGGCCACTTTTTCCGCCTCAAACTTTCGACTGCCTTTCGTCCGTCCATTCCTGTTTAGTGTTCCGGAGAGCCTGGGTCCTTTGCTCGTCGACCTGGACGTAGTCCACCCTTTGTTCTTCAGAGAGGAAAGGTTTCTGGTGAAGGGAAGACGATAAAAGTAAAACATGAGAACGCATGCAGAAGCGAATGGAGGATCTTAAGTCTGGGAAGCCGAGGAGTGCAACAGGAGGGCACCCTTGGCTGGCATTCCCTTTTTTCCCCTCCCTTGAAGTGAAGCTGAGATCAGCTGAGAAGAGCATCTGTCACCCCTACTGCCAGTTTAACACTTAAGGCCCCATCTGTCATCCTGTCTCCCAGCCCAGAATGAGGGACAGGCAGTACGTGGCTATGCTTGAAGAAAGGAGAAAAAGTTACTCTCTGCGTCAGTCCGTTCATTGGGCAAGGCCTGCGGGAGTCCAGCCTTCGAAGGTCAGAAAAAAAATGCACCTAAGGGGTGATCAAGCTAGATCTTCCCTCTCTTTGCTTGCCAAAGCCAGGGAGATGGAGGAGGAGCACACACAAGAGAAAGAAGGCAGCCCAGATAGGCTCGCAGGTCAGGTTGTGTGAAATCGATAGGATTCTCTCCGGAGAGTCTGTTTTATGGGATGCCTACAGTGCTCTGTCTACAAAAATAAAATTGTTCAAAGAAGCCACTCGCTGGCGTGAGAATTGTTATGAGGCTTCCTCCGACAGAGGCAGGACCTTTGTCTTTTGCTTTCTATAGTTTGCATTCTGCCCCCTCCCCGAAGCACAAGTTTTCTCTGACTTCTTTCTGCCACTGTTTGCAACTTTTTAAAAAAGCACCAGTGCCAGCACATGAAAGCATGTGCATACTTTCATGAGTAGAAACTTTTGCACCATTTTTGCAGCAAATCTTCCCTAGCAAACAATTATTTGGTAGAAAGCTTCCTCGGTATGCATTTTCGAAGAAGTTGCCATGTTCGTCTGTGCAAGCGTATGAGACCAAGTCCGTAACAAAGCAAAACAAAAAGAACCCCAAGAGACAAAAACATTGTGGCACCTTAAAGACTGCTTCCTTAACAAAACATTGTCACTTTGTTCCTTATCTGTATCTACACCTAGTTCTTGAGCCATGTAGGAATATAACAGTCATATAGTCTCGTTCTTATGTAAGAAGGAGGAGCCTCAGGTCACCGTGGTTAAACTGCTGGACTACAGTCAAGACTCTGCTCACGACCTGAGTTTGAACCCGATGGGCTTAGGTAGCTGGCTTGAGGTTGCTTAATTAAATTGTAAACTGCCCAGAGAGTGCTTTATGTCTGGGGAAGTGGGCTCAATCTGTGAAAACTCAAATTGAAGTACAGCAATTAGTCCTTAATGTGCCACAGTATTTGTGCCTTTTGTTTTTGTTTTGTTTTGTCCAATATCCTCAGTATATACTATTTTATATGTTATTTCCTCAATAAATACATTTCTGTTTGCAGATCGACCTAAGGTACGCACCTCTGTATGCATTTTTGTTCCCCTAGAGAAATTTTTTTAACAAAATTTCAGAGTGGTGAAAGATGATTACGTTCAATTTTGCCTATCAGTCCAGTATAGCCAAATAAGATCATTTCGCATTAAAATGCAAAACAGTGGGATTTCTCTCGCTTCCGTACATAAGACCTACCTTTTGAACAGGGGATGGAGAAGCAGAGTTAAAATCCAGCGCTAAGTAGTCAACATTAAACGTCTTTGGCCATGGGAAGGCTCCGTTACAGGGAGATGTTGCTTGCTGATGCTCCTGTCGATAACAAGCCATTATTTTCTTTTTAAAAATGATTTTCAGAAATTAAAATTATTTTAGAAATTATTGTTTTTTAAAATTAGAAAGAAAAAATAATGCACCACAGATATTAAAAAACTAATAAATGCATGCTGGTAGGCTTACAGTGTAAAAGCATGAATACTGAGGAAATACAGTTGTAAAGGCCAGGCAAAAGGATCCACAAGGCATGAAGGCAAGAAGCCCTCTCATCTGCAGAACGGAGAGGTGAAATACCTCTGACTATGGCCGTTTCCAGCTATCTCTACTAACGCTGCTTAACGGATCTTCCTTTCCTCCAGAGCTTTGAAAGATTACTTCTCAAAAATCCACCTGACAGTATGGTAGGGCAGGGAAGCTGGGACACTGCCTGCCGAATGGGGCAGGGGTGCCGAACGGCCGAATACCCATTGTGGAGGCAAACGAACTGGGATGAACTGCCAAATCGGCAGTTCGTGCCCATCTCTGTACCCCACCTTTCTCCTGAAATGAACCTTTCTCCAGAAGTGAATAATCAAAACAAACAATATAAATGCTGGAAGGGGGGGAGGACAAAAACCCACCAACAAAAAAGTAAGCTAGGCAGAACTCCCAGGATGGAGAACTGTGGTATTTGTGGTCTAGAAAACTCCCATTCCTGCAGCCCATCCTCCAGAATGTTTCCCTGGCGTCTTGTGCCTTCCTAAGAATGTGACGGAACAATTCCAGCCCCCCAAATAAGGAGGAGAGCGCTGGGTTTCCCTCTTTGCATTCAATGCACTGCCCGGGGTAGAACCACGTCTGTCCATTAGGGTAATTTGGAGGATTGCCGGTGACACTGGCAGGAAGAACAGAGATCTGTTAAGTAGGGAAAGAAGGCCTCCTCTTATCACTGTGTCCAAGGGGGCCTTGTGTTTTTACAATGAGTTTCGAGGATAGGCCAAAGGGGAGCCCGTGCCACATGTTTCATTTAAAAATGGACCTCTCTCTCCGAGCTTTTCCGTTCACATGATTTTTTTCAAAGAAGAGCTGTGCGAAAACGGATTACCATTTGAATGTAACTTTCTTCCTCTTGTCCGGAAATGGAGCTGGCAAAGACTCTCGCTGAATTAATGCCATCTCTTTCTGGGGAGATAAAGCTCGTTCGATTGCTAAGGGTGGAAAGAAGGAGGGGGGAGAGAGAAGAATCAAATCAAATAGAAACCGTCAGAAAAACAAAACCTACGAGAAGTCAAGGGAGAGCTTTTCCAGATGCTCTGAAACAAAGCCAAAATCTGACAGAGCTTGCGTGGGGAAGAGACCCGCGCAAAGCCCTGCAAAGCAACGACGTTCAGAAAGTGAGATTTAGCTACGCAAACAGGCCCACAGGGCCCACTCGGAAGACCTGCCCGCCATTTTAAAAGCGAGAGGTTTTGATGGCCAGGTCTCTGGGTTTTGTTCGTTTTTCCAATTCTTTCTTTTCAACTCTGGCATCCCTTGGAATTGCACTGTCAATGCTCCAGACATTTCTGGCAAGTTATGTTCAAGGTGTCTATTATTATTATTATTATTATTATTAGTAGTAGTAGTAGTAGTAGTAGTAGTAGTAGTAGTAGTAGTAGCAGCAGCAGCAGCAGCAGCAGCAGCAGTATTACTATTATTACTATTATTATTACTACTACTATTATTAAATACAATCGTTGATATTATATAACATACAAGTTTTAACAAAAAACTAAATATACATTAGGTATTGGTGTAGCATGTAAGCTGCTCCTAATATTGCAGTTTTTTGAAGCTCTGATAGAGATCTGTAGCTGATTATAACATTTTATAAAATAGCATGTCATTGTCCCCAATGCCCCAATGACTATGGGAACCACTGAAGTATGTCTCATCCACTAGTGAGTTGTTTCTATTGCCAGGTCTGTCCATTTTGTTCATTTTCCCAATTCTCTATCTCCAAGTCTGGTACCTAGACAGCTCCGTAGTTTAGGCAAAGTTCGGGAGTTTGGTTTCCCACTGTGCCTCTTCGACAGGGGCCCTTCCAGCTCTGCAGTTCTAAGATGATGATGGTCATACAGAAATAGAAAGACACGGCCTTTGACGGGTCTTATATGACATCATAATTGCCCCACTCTTATGTCTGAGGAACTGGGCTTGTCCAAGAAAGCTCCCATTAAAATAGAGCAGTTAGTCTTTAAGGTGCCACAACATTTCCATCTTCTTTATTTTTCTTTTGTTTTTGCTTGATATATAATCATCACCATCATCATCATCACCCTTGCTGCTGCAGCACACACACTTCTTGTTTCTCAGCCTTGCCTGGTACAGGAGGATGACCTAAGGGTCAAGCCTCAAAATTAGAAGTCAAGTTGTAAACATTTACAGGAGTTCACTGTCATTATTAAATTGTTGTTTGTTGTTGTTAATGAAATGTAAGTTCCACTCACTTTAGTCTGAATCTCATGGATTTAAGTCTATGGCAGATTTGTTCTCCCCTGTAAATTTGTGGAGGACGTTAGAAAGTTAGCAAAGTGACTTTAGACCTGGGATTTTAAACGGCTCTTTCCCTAGGATTCAAACTGTACTTGTCTAATCCAAGTCCTCTTGTGATCCTGAGATTCAGGATCATAAGCTTCTCAAAAGCTTCCTGTAACAGGCTTGGCTACCACTTACTAAGGCACGGTCCACGTCCTGGTTAAGGCAGCATGTTCTCGGATGGTGGAAAGGTTTCGCAAGTCCAGCGGAGGCGGTCGGACTAAAGATTTAAACAGAGAGAGAAGAGAGTGAGCCTGCCAATGGAAAGTAAGGTCCTCGTAGACTGAATAGGCTACTAGCCCTATACTTCCTGTGCAGCGCCACCCTCTTCATGGCCAAAGAAGGTACTGCAGCTCATTGACTCAACCAAGAAGGACGTTTGTTGTAGGTGTTGCGGTAATGACAAAATACAGGAAGGAGAAGGGAGGTGAGTTTGAACCAGTTAGTTTCTTTATACGTAGGTAAGTAAAAAATGTCTACTTTGAGAAACAGGAAAGTAAAGGGTTGGTTTTAAAAACAACAAGTATAATTGGCTTCGTAACTATCATGACAGGCAATTCCATCTTAGAAGTAACTTCCCCAGTTCTGCTTGGTATGCTAACCTGGTACTTTAAATTTCTCGCAGTGCCGTACCCGAAGCATTGTGGAACCTCACAGACTCATCTGCCCGGCCCAGGAAGGGCATCAGTGCTGATATTCCGGGACAGAACTGCATAAACTCCTTTTGATTACAGTGATTTCCTAAGCCACTTGCTGTATGCCACAAACTGACTCACACAGCTCTCCAAAATCTGCTTAATTGTCCCACACTGCAGATACAGTAGCTGGAGACTTACACTTTCGACGGGGCTTGAGGTCCCTGTTCACTGGAGGGGGTTCCAGGTCCGTGGGAAGCTCGGGGAGGGGGCTGGAGAGTTTTTCAGTGCTGCCACCCGAGAGGGTAAACGTAGCCGAGCCTGGACTCATGGGAATATAGCCATCGGCGGTGCAATCAGAACCCAGGACCGGTGGGGAAGCACTGGGGTGCATGGGCACGTAACTGTCCTCAGAACTGTTGGATGTGGAGGAATATAGAGGGCTGAACCGACAGGGCTGCAGGAACGAGAAAAAACGGGAAAAGTCCACACTCCATAAGAAAGCTCCAGAGTGGAGGTTATGCACCAAGGAACTTCCTAACTTGGGGCAATTTGCCACTCCAGAGATGTTACACCAGCCAGTATAACCAACTGAATTCTGGCTAATACACCAACACAATCATTGTCATAATTTAAGAACTGCAGAGATGGAAGGGACCATATAGTTTATTGAGTCCAGCCCCTGTTAAGGACACACAGTCGGGCATTGAACTCTCAACCTCTATGTCAACGCTCTGAACACAGAATTTTGGACTCGAGGGAGCAGAGAATAAGAGATTTAGGGTTAATTTTGGAACAAAATTAAAGACCTCTATGACAACAACTTCACAGAGGGGTCATTTTACATTCAAGGTATCATGCAGTCCACCCCCAAGCTCCTTATGGATTAAACTGCATTTATGCCCTCTGAGTACAGAAGACGCTGGACTATTAACATCTCATTTACCATGTCGAAATTGGAAAAATTAATTTTTTTGATCAATACGTTGGACCCAAAAGTAACATTCTGGTCCAGCCATGTTTGATTCAGTTTTTCCCCAAAGAGGAAGAAGGAACCATAAAGGTTATTTCTGCTTTGCATGGTTGGATAATTCATATTTTTGACACATCAGCTGATTTCTGCTTGTAATTATTATTTTCGTTAAAACTCTACTAGAGTGTCCATTTGAACGTCAAAATGTACACAAGTGGGTGGGTAAAAACCAGGACGAAAAAGCACTTACCAAATTCAAGCTGAGCCTCTTATCCCTGCGTCTTAAGGAATTCTCTTCCATGTCAGCTGGAAAACCAAGAGGGGAGGAGGAAAAGAGAACCCTTAAGCAACTGACAAACAAAAATGGTGGAAGGACCAAGAAGATAAGCGTTTCTTTGTCTTGAAATCGCTCATAGTACAATCTGTGGCTTGAAGAGCATTATAATTATAATCAGACAAACAGTAACTTGCTAGGCTGTCATACTTAAAGCAAAGCAAAGCAAAGTGAGCTGCTCTTATACCGCCCCACAGTATGTAAAGCACTTTAAAGTTTGAATTATGCAAGCTACACATGGCCTCTCTAGCAAGCTGGGTACTCAGTTTATCGAAATCAGGATTGAACTTGGGTCAGGAGCAGTGGCTTGACGGCTACACATGGCCTCTCCAGCAAGCTGGGTACTCAGTTTATCGAAATCAGGATTGAACTTGGGTCAGGAGCAGTGGCTTGACTTCGAACTCAGGACTGAACTTGGGTCAGGAGCAGTGGCTTGACTGCAGTACCACAGTTTCACCACTGCGCCGCAAGGCTCTTAACTCTGCAATCTTATGGATTCCGATACAGTCGTGCCCCGCTGTACGACTGCCACGCATTACGATGAAACCACATTACGACAACGTTTTCGCGATCACAAAACGATGGTCTGAATAGGGGTTTTTAGCTTTGTGATGATTGGTTCCCTGCTTCGGGAACCGATTCTTTGCTAAATGACGATTTTCCTACAGCTGATCAGCGGTTTCAAAATGGCCACCGGGTAAATAAAATGGCTCCCCGCTGTTTTCTGGGACGGATTCCTCGCAAGACAGCCACCGAAAATGGCCGCCCTATGGAGGATCTTCACTGGACAGTGAGTTTCCAGCCCATTGGAACACATTGAAGGGCTTTCAGTGTGTTTCAATGGGCTTTTTATTTTCGCATTATGACGTTTTCATTCTACAGCGATTTCGCTGGAACGAATTAATGTAATGTGAGGCACCACTGTACTTAGAAAGTTAAGCTGTGCAAATTAGAACGATAGAGAGAGAGAGAGGTGCTCACTGGCAGATTCTGGGACTTCTATTCTACGCCAAGTTTTTTTGGAGAAAGATAAGAAATGAAAAGTTTTTTTTGTTTTTTTTAAGAGTACTAGAACATGGCTAGCAGCTTTTGGGACATATACTCCAGAAAAGCATTCCCCCCCCCCATCTTTGTAAAAATGAAGATGATGCAGAATAATGAAAGTCAGGGTGGTGGGTGGTTGTGTTTCTTCTAACAGCCCCTCACCTCTCCAATTCCTCATGGTGTCCAGACCTGACAGGGAGATCCTTCTCGGCACCACAGCCCTTTGAGCGTTTGAGATCCCGGCATGTCCGTTCTGAAGAGCCCCAGTGGGCTGCTCCTCAACCCTTCTGTCCGAGAGGTGAGTTGGTTTGGGAGGCCTTGGCGGCGGCATATTGACTGGAAGGTCCAGTTCGGCCACACCCGAAGCACAAGTGCTCTGGCTTTTATCGGCCAGGAAGGTTGGCGTTAAAGGAGGTCCTGACAATGGTGAGGATGAAGAGAAATCACTGGAAGGGGGCCCGCTGGAGTCCGGATTCCTGGAAAGGGCCCCTGGACCTATGGATTGGACCAGATCTTGCAGGAGGCTGCTGGAAGGGTGCAAATAAAGCGAGGGCTGGGATGCTACAAAGTCAATGAAGACATCATCTGACGAAGTCTGCTCCAAGGACCGGTCAGAATTGGACCAGCTGTGGCACCTGGAAGGAAAGCAAAAGAAGAGGAAGTGGGTTTGATGGTTGAGCATCATTTCATGACAGTGAAGCCGCGCCACTTAACAAGAGCCACCCAACCCTAGCCATCTGAAGGAGGGGCTCGATACTGTTGTGCGCGATCATCACCAAACTTCAACTCAACCTCAGATAACGGCTCTCCCATGACCTGTATTTTGTCAAGGCATTTTAGGTTGGCTTTTCAAAAAAATCAATCAATTCATCTGTTAATTGGCAAATGCATGTATTACTAGGTACTCCCAGGCAGGCTGAGACGACTGTCTTCCATTTGGATGGCCTTGTTCCATGGTGGGTTTGGTTTAAATCAAGTTGATTTAAATCACAATTAAAATCACTAGTCAGTAAGCATTTTTTAAAAAAATCCAATTTGAATTGGATTTTTTTAAAAAAAATTAAAACTACTGACTAGGTTTTAAAATCATAATTTAATTGGACTTGATTTAATCTTAGAACGGCAGCTGGAAGGGACCCTCTGGATCATCGAATTCAGTCTCTATCAAGGAGGTCCAATGAAGAATCAAACTCCCAACCCCTGGCTCCACATCCAGATGTCTAAACCACTGAGCAGTTAAATGTCACCTGCCCTGCCTTGATCCATCTCCAGCAGGCACCCAGGAAAAAATTGGCCATGCTCAAGCCCTCCCAAGTGGGGGAGCCAGCTGGGCCATTTGGCCCCGGACTTCACCTCACTGGATGGCCTCACCTCAGCTGTCTTCTTTCCCCGGTGAGAAAATACCTGGTGTGGGTGAGTTTCCCAGTCTCACAGTTGGATAAGAAGAGATAGTCAGGAAGGAAAACAGATTCCGACTCGCTGCCCGTCTCCTCTGCGGCTGAGGTATCAGTGGGGGCCTGATCCACCAACGAGGACGGGTTCAGAATCCTCAAGGCATGGGCTGAAGCCGCCGGCGAAGGCTGTGGGGAGGAGGTGGTATGCGAGAGACTGTCCCCCGAATCTGTAGGGAAGGGAAAGAAAATGGAAAGGCCACTTGGCAAATTATTGGGAGAACTGTTTGGGCCCTGATCCTGCAATAACGTCCTTCTGGTTAAGAAACTGAACAGGGACTGGTGGCCTGCGTGCAGGGCAGTGGGCATCCATTGGAACAGACACGTCAAAACAAGAAGGTAAGGTGAAGTCAGCCCTGGAAAGAACCATTATTGCTTGGGGCAAAAATGTAGTGGCATTCCATGTTAATTTCTTCAGTGCCAGGGTTTTAAAAGAGGTCATACACAGTGTTGGCTGAATGAAGGCTTCTTCAATCATCATCATCTCAGAACTGCAGAGCTGGAAGGGAGCCTCTGGATCATCAAGTCCTGTTAAGGAGGCACCGTGGGGGAATCGAACTCACAGCCTCTGGCTCTGCAGCCAGATGCTTAAACCACCGAGCATCCAGCAATTGTATCTGACACCAGAACTTGCATTTACAAACCAACTTACAGATCCCAGACTGCCACTTTTGACAACCTCAAAGTTTAGCAAAGTCACTTAAAAAAAACAACACCCAACACCTACATGAACCATGCTGGCTAGAGGATTCTGGAAATTATAAACCACCTTTCCCAAAGTCACTTTTTCTAAACTATGGTTCATACAGCCCCACTCCTGGTCTTCACTGCAACATATAACGATTCATTAAAAAGTAAATAAATTGAAAAGTTGCCCTTTTTTTTGATTATTCTGGACAGGCACATTGTGTTTATACTAAGCAGTCACTAGACTTCCTTAACCCATAAACAGTATCTGGGAATCGAGGCCAAGCCATTTATCTAAAGCAGTGTTTCCGAGAAGCAAAATGTTTATAGTGTGGAAGACATTGCAGTCTCAAAAATGTACAAACGCTTTTGCCACAGGTGTTCTCTACAGCTTAAGCAAGCGAGAGAAAGAAAGAAAGAAAGAAAGAAGAAAGAAAGAAAGAAAGAAAGGCTGACTTCTTCCTTGCTCTATCTCCCTGATTAGATAAATGTATTGTAAAGGAAGAAACAGAAATTGGACAGGGGGTTGATTAAAAGAAAGCCACATTGCACTTTATCTGCTCAAGAAGAAACATTTTTGTATAGGCGTTAAATTCTGTTAAGTGGCTTTCATTCCTTGACAATTTCCTGGAGGAAGTCATGTATGTTGTGCTCGAGGAGAGCTTTCCAGATACCCTGGATGGCCAGAAAGACAAGTGGATCCTAGATCAAATCCAAGCCTGAACTCTCTCTAGAGGCAAAAACGTAGAAACAGAGGCTGGCCTACTTTGGGCCCGTCCTGAGAAGGCAGGATGCTCTGGAACAGACAATAATGCTGGGAAAGCTGGAAGTCAGCAGGAAAAGAGGAAGACCACATAAAAGATGGACTGCCTGCCTGGAGGAAACCATGGGCTTGAGTCTGCAAGAGCTGAGCCAGGGCTCCTCAGGACATGACATTTTGGAGATCTCTCATTTACAGAGTCACCATGAGTCAGACGTGACTTGATAACACAGAACAACAACAACAGTAATATTAATCTGGAGCAGCGAATCAGCTGAGATTCTTATGCCATCTTCAAGATGATGATGCTTTGTTCAGCATAAAGCTTGTGGGGGCTGTAGGCCATCTGCATCTTGTGAAGTGGGCCACAGTCTGTGGAAGCTTATGCCAAATAAAACTTCCTAGGCTTTAAGTTGCACTATGATTTTTTGTTGTTGTTGTTTAGAATCGGGAGGAAAACCCGAGTGCCGTGCTCCAACAAGGCCAGCAGATGGCAACCTTCTGATTCTGCAGCCCAGTGGTTTGGGTTGTGCTGATAGCATTTCTCATGCCTTCATCACCCACCAGGCAACGTTACCTCTGCCTCTCCAGCTAATCCACCCATCCTCATTGATTCCAACAAAGGAAGCATCATGTGTGCATTTGCACCCTCCCTGCCTACACATTTTATAAAAGCCATTTAAAGCTTGCTGGCCAATGAACCATGATGAACCAATTAGGAATGCAAAATGCTCAAGAGCTGAACTTCAGCTGATGCACTGAAATGACCTCCTGGTTTGACTGATGGGGTTCCAAAAGATCGACATTCTTACAGTGGGTGACCTACAAAAGGCAGATGGGTGGGGAATGCTCTAGAAACGGCATAGAATTGGCCTGTGGCTGCATTCGTGTCATCTGAGGATCAGCTTCATTCATTTGCAAGGCTAGGGATTTCTTGCGGTGCCCCGAAACTTTGAGTTTGAAGTGCACTGTGCCGCTCCTGTTGTGGGATAAATCACGACCCTCTGCAACAGCCCTCCTTAACCCTGCATCTTCTTCCAGATGTGTCCACCGCCATTGCTCTCAAGCTTAGCCAGCATGAGGATGATACACCTCTGCCTCCTTCCATCACAGAGCCAAGAGAAACCGGCAGTCTTTAAATTTAGCATGGACTCCTTAGACTATTGCACCAGAGAGCAGAATTGTAGTTCAACAAGCGTCTGGTTGCCAGAGGCGATCACCGATTGCAGGCAGGTAAGCACAAGGACCCCCATGCAAGGAAATGAGCAAGCTGTTGAAGAATATAGGGACTGCTCCCAAGATGGAGGCCAGAACAGCCGCAGGAAGAAAGAAAATTGCACTCTTCTCTGCCCAGCACAAAATGCAGCAGGCTACAAGCAGAGGGGCTGGCTCACCCCATTCTTATTCTGCCAGCCTCCCCTAGCTAGTAATATTTCTGGTAGGTTTTCAGAAATTGGCTGTTTTTTTTTAAAAGAGATTTTTTAAAAAACTGTTCCACTTTTAATTAGCTTTTCAAGCCAATCATGTTTTCATTTTAGGAGTTTGTTTCATTCCCTGAAAAAGGTTATATTAACAAGAACAACTAATACGAATCAAAGTCATTATAACTTGATATGCATCCTTTCGCCAGGACCTCTAGCTAACTGTTCTTAATCTGTCCCTGTTTTCATCTTCTTCTCTGTCTCTCTTTTTGAAAGAGCCCTGGATGCTAGTTCTTGGAGAAATGCAGGAGACAAATAAAGTGAATTAATGAATGCTGAGCATGCCCCCAACCCACACAACCATCGATAGCTCATCCACTATGTTTACCCGATGCAGCTGGGAAATATCACATAAAAGGAGGGCTGAAAAGTGGCCTCCAAGGCCCAGAACTGGCACGCCGTGATGTTTCCCGGTGCGCTCTCTCCATCCCATTAGCAAATGCGCTCTGCAGCAGTAGCGCTGTCTGTCTCAAAACTGGGAATAGAAAAGCATGCCTTTGGGAAGCGCTGATATCTGACTCCAAGCTCCAAGGACAAAAATGGGCACTCATCTCTGTGTTTTGACTAAAAGCTTAGCGATAGAACGGAGCCCGACAGCAGCAGCTGCAGACAATAAATTATGTATGTCCAATCCACTCTCTAATGAAGAAGCAAAGAAGCATCTCTCCTCTCTGTCTCTCACACACACACACACACACACTGACACACACACATACACACAGAGAAGCACTCATCAAGAGAAAGAGAAATACCTCCGGCCTGCACATATCAGATATAGCATTATCGGGCTGGCTAAAACAAGAGCAAAGAGGATATGCAGACTGAAGGTCAAATGTCACATTATAGACAACACGTGATTAAAGGCTGGTCTCATGTTTAGCATTCAAAAGACACGATTCTGGCAAATCTTCATGTCTGAGCCGCTGCACTTGGAAAGGAAGGCAGTGTTTACTTCCATCGCAAATCACAGCATGCTCATCTGCAAACCATGGGAGATGTGACGTCACAACTGTTCCGTCACGAAACACCCAAAGTCTCTGGAACTGTGTCCCCACCGTGTGTCCACAGAAGAACTCCGAGCAGAGGAGTTGCCTTTTCTGGATTACAGCCTGGGCAACTGATTCGGCTGACTGGACTACCTGTTGCCATCGTGGTCACAAGGAGGAATTTTTCCAAGGTCCAGTTTGAAGCAGTATGGGTCTTTCTTGAAGCAGACTAGCCTGTTAGCGTCACCAAAGCCAGTGATTCTAAAGCAAATTTATTTTTGTCTGCACTTGGTTGGTTTGTTATGTGCCATCAAGTCAGAACAACTTTAATAGAGCTTTCAAGGAACATAAGATATTTAAGGAGTGGCTTTACCAGTTCCACACACCCAGTGAGCTTCCATGGCTGAGCGGGGATTTGAAGCCTGGTCTCTAGAGTCCTAGTCCGTCACTCTATCCACTACACCGCACTGTGTGCACTTTAGAAAGTACGAAATGGCTGTTATCCTGACTTCCCGATTGTTTCTGATGCTCTCAACTGCTGCGGTGTACCTTTAATGAGTGGTTTGCCCTGAAGATGCACTGAACCACAGCTATGCCCCTTGATCAGATTAGCTTTTCCAGCAACCCGACTCCTCCATCAAGAAATGCATTCAGCTAAATGAATCTGACATTCGGACATGTCCTCAGCGCCTGTAGATAAATTAAACTACTGCTGGGATCTGGTACGATCCAATGAGAAGATTTTAAAAATGACTTTCAACCTTGTGAATCGTGAGCCATTTCTTGTAACCATCAAGACATCTGCAAGATGATTCATTGCCGAGAATCCTTCAAATACACCACACACAAAATTCCAAGCACCTGATTACTATGAAGGATGTACTCCTTCATGTCGTGTACAAATAAGTGTTGGAATTTGCTACCCTGAGAGTCTTACTTGGGGATGAGAACTAGGGAACATACTAATAAAGAGAGGTGAATGCTAGGGAAGGTACTAACACAGAGAGGTGAATGTTGCAGCGCTACATCTCTCCATGCCTGGTCACCTTCCCCTTTTCGCCGTGGAAGGCAAAGAGGAAGACCGCCTTGTCTTCCAGGATCCCAGCTCTCCTACAGGGAATTCCCATGGAGAGGACCTCTTGAGATCTGCCACCCCACACGTGTTGGAGGATAAGGGAAGCGATGATGGAAGGAGCGCTGAAAGAACATGGCTAGAACTTAAGCGTGGCCACCAACCTGTATGGCTACCAAGAGGTGTTCAAGTAATTCATGGACTGTATCAGTGGCTATATATTGCCTTCAGTACTGAAAGCAGTGTGTCTGTCAGCATCAGCTGCTAGCTAAAAAAAAAAACAGGACAGTGCTCTTGTCCTCATCTCCTGATGGAAGGCTTCCCTTAGGAACTGCTCTTGCCTTACACTAAGATTATCCATGCAGACCCTGCTGTGGATGTCTGTCTTCAGACAGAAAGCCGGAATGTAAAGACAGGGCTTCAGGGTTATGGGCTCCCTGCTTGAAACAGCAGCCTGGGAACGCCAATCCAAAAAGATGACTTTTTCTAAGTCCTAATAAGTTCATATATGTTTCTGGACAGTGACAAAGCAGCTCCAAGGCTGCTGTAAACTAAGTGAGATGACCCTGGTATCTGCAGGGGATTGGTTCCAAGCACTATCCCCGTAGATGCTGAAAAATGTGGATTATAGGGAACACTATTTTAATAGAGAAGGCTATAAATTGCATGGTATCTGGCTCCCTCTAGTGGCCACAGTCTGGTAACTTCATCATTAGGAATACATACAGTATTTCTAAGATTTTTCTTTTAATAATTTTTATATTTTCAGACCACGGATAAGTGAATCCGTGGATACGGATCCTGTGGGTACAAATCTCCTACTGTACTTTCACAAGTGCTTTGCCCTATCTCTTCCTTCCTACCTGTCCCATCTTCCAAATGTCCAAAGTTGCAGATCTGGGTTATGTGGTGCACCCACACTTGCATCTCCTCCTCGGATTTGGCCACCAGGTAGAAGGTCCGGTAAGTGGTTTTCACGATGAAGACCGAGTTGTTCTGGAACTCCTTTTTGATGAAGCTGGACCCGGAGTGCTTCACCACCTCGCATTCGTTCAGGTCGATCACGCGGATGGGCTTCTTCGAATGGCTGTTCCGATAGTATTCCAGCACGTCAGGGTTCCCGCTCATTCGGCCCTGTCGCAACACGAACCAGCGCTTCCGCCAAGCCTGGAGCGACAAGACAGCGACAGCAGCATTAGCGGTGGCAGATCACAGGAATTTATTCATTATTTATTTGTCCCTTACATTTATACCCTGCACATCTACTGCCTAAGTACTACCCTGAGTGGCTCAGAAAGGTTAAAACACAGCCATCCAGCCCTGCCCACAAGAACATAAATAAAGAGAACCAATAAATGTTAATAACCTGAGATTCCAAAAAGAGAGAGAGAGAAAGATGGACGGCAAATCAAAATCAACAGTCAGTTCACGGGTCCCCGAGGATGTTATTCAAAGGCGTAAGACATTTCTAAAGGCCTATTCACACAATACAGTTTTACCCATTTCCCGGAGGCCAAGGAGGAAGGAAGCCTGGTGTATCTCTGTGGGTAACGTAATCCATAGCTGTGTGGCCAACACTGAGAAGACCTGGTTCCTGGTGATGTTTTTCATTCTCAACTACATTATTTGTCCATCACGTCCAAGCCTACTCCGACTTCAGAAGCTTCCAAGGGTCTCAAGGAGAGGTCTTTCTCATTCACCCTTGACTGACTGACTGATTGATTTACATTCCTATGCCATTTTTCTCCCAAGAAGGGAAGGGATCCATCGGTAGTATTCCTGTTAGATCCATGAGACAGACAGTCAAGTCCTAGGACTAAATCCACCCCTCTAGGTGGTGGTATTTCTTTCTCCGCCATCCCAATTCTTAAAAAGTTGAAACCCTTTCCTACAAGGATCGCCGATAAGAGTTTTCAACTAAAATAAGATAGTATTCCCGGTTCCTTCCACCCGAGATGGTAGCCTTCAAGAACTGAATTTAGTTCTCATGCTAAAAGAAGTTCCCCAAAGACGCTGTGGTGTGCACGCTGCTGTTACTTGATGAGGGAAGGGACTTTAAGTCTACTGCATGCAGAATCTGTGTTTCCCCATCAATGTACGGCTCCTTTTCAAGGGGAAGCTAAAAGGTTCTTTACCCTGTAGCACTGAAAAGGACAGTCCAACAGACCTCAGCAGGGCTGTAGTCATAGACAACACCATTCCTTTTATTTTTCCTCTTGAGGAACCATCTAGAACTCAAGAAAACAAATAAAATAGACCCCCTCTTTCGCAGAGAATCATAGAAACATTGGATATGATAAGACGGAGAAACAGCTCGCGTTTTGGACCATTTTGCGTTCCAGTCCGGTGTGAGCTATTTCCTGGCGATCGCACAACGTGCAAAAAAATCATGAACAAGCCCAACCCTGCTCAATGCTGAAACGGGATCTTTTTGAGAGGCGTCTTGGAGCGATTTCTCTCGGGATGGAAGGGAGATCACTCCCGGCAGAACAACCCTTTCCAGAATGCTCACTGTCTGATAGCATCCGTTCAGTCAGGTTCATACGGGAAAAGCCTTATCTTTAGCTAAGTCTCGGCTCCTTTAACAGTTGAATCAAAGAGGGCATTTCAGCAAGCTTGACTTCCTGATGCCAGCTGCATTCCAAAATAAGACCTCCTTAAGGAAGTGACAAATCTGTCATATTCATTCTCGTTGAGTCTTCTTGCGTCCTACAGGGATTTTTTTCTTTACTCAACCATAGCTTTACCGTTGAGTGGTGAGATTCTTTTACTTTCTCCCCTGTGTCTGCGTGTTTTATTCACACATTATTCCGAACTATAGGTGTCCACATTCCCCCCCCCCCCAAATAAATATTTTATGCACACATTATTCCAAACTATAGGTGTCCACATTCCCCCCCCCAAAAAAAAAATACATGCATTTTTATGCCACTTGGCATTGACTAAAGCTGTTAGTGAACATTTAAAGCAAATGCATGTTTTGGTCCATATCTGTTTCTCTCAGAATCCATCGTGAGCCTTGTAAATATATGGATGTCTGAGTCTAGCTCCATCCCAGTCTTTTAGAAGTCATGGGTGGTTTGAAGTATCCTTGTATATCCCCACTTAGACCGTTCTCCCAGGAGGGAACAAAACGTTAAGAAGTCTTCTCTCTGCAGAATGAAATTCCATGAATTTGTGGGCATATTTTGAAACTTTTCGGGCATGAAAACCATGGATTTAGTTTCTGGGCAAAAAAAAAAAGTTACACGAAATACAAGCTTTTGTGCACAACGCATGTTTGGGGTGCTTTTTTTTTTAGAAAGCAAAACTCACATTTTCTGCATGAAACCACTGCTTTTTGTTCAGCCCCTTTAAAAATTCAGATCTGCTGCTGACATTAAAAAAAACCTGATGGTTCCCCTCCCCCCCAATTTCTTTTTGCTCTTCTGCAGGAGAAAAAAAAACCCCTTGCAGCTGTTGATAATTTTTTTCAGCAGACTGTCCCCGTGTATTGAGACATCCATGTTTGTCAAGGATGGCAGCCTTCGGTGCCTCTTTAGGATGGAAGGGATATTTCTGGACAGAAATGCAAGCCAATTTTTGTCTCCCTCTCAAGAGATCTCCCCGAGCCCCCTGGGTAGGAGAGGATATTGAATATCTCCCATCTTCTCCCAAAGTAATTCTTAAAGAAGGTCACAAGATTTAAATGAGGAAATGTGGGGAGAGGGACCCATCTTACTTGCATGGGGCATCCAAGAAGACCTGACACCATCAGAATCTTTTCTCATGTTGCTTCTAACCTTCCTGAGCATTGACTCTAGCTGTTCTTGTTGTTGTTTTGACTTATATACTGCCCCATAGTGCTTAGAGTACTCTCTGGGTAGTGGTTTACAACATAAATATGCAAGGGACACTTTGCCTCCTCCCAAGCTGGGTACTTATTTTACCGACCTTGTAAGAGTAGAAGGCTAAGTCAATCTTGAGCCAGCTACATGAATTCCTTAGGATCAAACTCAGATCATGAACAGAGGCTTGACTGCAGTACGATTCCTTAGGATCAAACTCAAGTCATGAACAGAGGCTTGACTGCAGTATTGCAGTTTAACCACTGCACCGTGGAGCTCAGTTTCTGATTCACTCCTGGAGGGAACCTTCCTGAATCGCAGATCTCACGCACAAAACAAAACAATAATGTAACCCTGTCAATGGAGCAGAGGACTAAATTCGTCATGGGCAGGACTGGTGCATTTTGGCTAAGCAGCAGGACCCGAGAAAAGCTATTACTGCCTCAAAATAGACGACTTCTTTTGTTTGAAGAAGAAACCCAATGGATTCAAATGACGAACATGCTGAATTTACGTGGCACACACCACCTGCAGATATAATGATATAATTCTGCCGTCAATCCTTAAGGCAAGGCACTTTATGAAGTAGGAGGGTAAATAAGTTGAGTTTGCCTGCTCTATTCTCTGTAGGAGCCTCCAACCTGCTGAAGGTGCTGGTGGAAAAGATTGGAATACATCATCCTTCCAGGTCCCTGGAAAATCTTAGATGCAGAAGACGGGCTGGGGGGAATTGAGGGGGAAAGGTGGTTCCCCTCAATGGAATCAGTAAGATGAACCACATCTCATTTCACCCCAGTTTTCAACTTTAAATATTGTCTTTCGTTGTTGTAAGCTGCCTTGAGTCCTTTTCAAGGAGAAAGGCAGAATGAAAATACATACATACATACATACATACATACATGCATGCATGCATGCATGCATACATACATACATACATACATACATACATACATACATACATACATACATACATACATACATACATACATACATACATACATACATAACAGAAAGAAAGAAAGAAAGGAAGGAAGGAAGGATGGAAGGAAGGAAGGAAAAAGATACAAATGCAGGAACAGGGGATCCCTTTCTATCACGTGTTCTTGCATTTTTATTGTTTTGGGGACCACACAGCCTCTTCTTGATTTTTACTGAACTAGGAGGAAAAAGGAGACTACAACGACTACAGTCAGGGGTGAGGCCTAGACATTCATCATCATCTCAGATGATGTAGAGCTGGAAAGGGACCCTATGGATCATCCAGTCCAGCCACTGTCACAGTGGAGAACCCTAACTCTCAACCTCTGGCTCCATGCTGAGCTATCCAGCATTAACCTAAGCTGGGTGAGCAGAAGGTCTCATGAGACTTAGGACCAAAAGGGGACCTCACCAGAAGCATCAGAAGAAGATGGGATATCTCACGGAGCAAGTAGCTACAGGCAATCACAAACTTCCTATCGTCTCAGATTGGTCGAGAGCCCCATACGTTGAAAAAGCTTGGTCAACATTTCTACCTCAAACGTTCTCTGCCCTTAACAGTAAAGGAGGCCAGCTTGTGAATCAAGGCTTTGCTCTTACGCTCTTCCACTGCTCCTTTCACGAGTTCCCTGCAACCTGTCCCTTCACGCAACCTCCCAAAAGACTTGAGTCATGGAGTGACTCAGTCCACCCACATCAGTTATGGGTTCTCCTCCATCAGAAGTAAGGCTAGATGGATCTGGTTGTTTTCCCTCTCTCCAGGTTTCAATTAAAAACAACTCGCGTTCCATCTCGAAGGGGAGAAATTCATTTGCTTTCTTATTTTTGAAATGTAAGAAAGAAATGGTCAACCCTATGCACTGGGCCAATTCCATTGGTGTTCCCAACAAAAAGAGTACAGTATCATGTTATACCATCATAGAATCATAGAATAATGAAGTTGGAAGGGGC